CCAGCTTCCTTGTCCCCTTCTGCCTTGTGGCCCTTGTCACTGGACTCCTGTACCTTGTTAGTCTCATTTGGTTTTACGGGGCTGTCCACTCCCAGGCTGCACCTCTCCTTTTAAAAATGAGAAAACTGAAGTCTTGAAGTCAAGTGATGGGTCACCTAGCTAGTTAGTGGCAAAGCTGAACTTAGACTCTTTCCAGTACATTAAGGGACTAGACAGTCAAAGCCTTGTGTGATACACAGGAATCTCCAAGGTTATGAAATGCTGTGAGAACCAATAGTGCATGCTTCCTCTCTTTTGGTTCTTTTGTAAGCTAACTTAAGAAACTGCAAGGTTATTTGTTATCTTTCAACTGTCAGGCAGAACGAGAAGGCTCTTAGTTAATACAACTCAGTGAGTCCCAGGGATGTTCCATACCAGGTTTTAGAAAGTCAGTCTTTGCAGTCCCTGTGGCATTGTTCTCCTTTTGATTCCATAGGAACACCAGCCTCATTCTGGCCTCCTGCAGTCCTCTTTCATCACGCTCTACACCATGTACCTCACGTGGTCAGCCATGTCCAATGAACCTGGTAAGGGAATCTCACTAGCACATTTATTTGATGCAAAGAAAGGAAACTGCCACTTTGGTGGGTGCAAAAACTAGAGCTAGAGCCATGTAAAAACAAACAAACGAAAAAACATTACTTGAATGTACAGTGTCACTGTATGCGCACAGATTTTACCTTTCAGGTTTCATTCCCCATGTTTATTCACAGCTGACATGCAGTCCTTTTATTCCTGGACTAGGTCAAACTAGTTCAGAGCTCTGGAAAAGAGCAACATTGTTTTAGCCATTTTGTAGACTTACTTTAATTGAATTTTACTTTGGTAGTTGTAGGCACTAAAAGAAACAGCTGACGGCAATCTCTTTGTAGTTACAATAGCGTTATTTCTCAATAGGATATTCTGTGGACTCCTTATGAAGGAAAACAATTATAGATCCCCTAAAGATGACTTATTTTATATTGTATTCCTATGTAACTGTGTACAAACAAAACTAGGGGTAAACTACTTGTGGTTAAAACCTTTGCACAACTATAGAACCAAAAAGATTTACCAGTTAATCCACAAAACCGGTGAAATCAAGATTGACATTTTTGTACTTTGATAGATGCTTTTTTGTTGTTATTTTTTTTTTTCAAAAACTAAGTCACTGATTGTAACACAAATATGGTATGACTACTAAGTTTTAGGTTCTTTTGAGTATAATATTCCTATGTTTCACATCATCATTGAATGATGTATAAGCACATCTCTCAAATCTTGTTTGGAACAAGACGAGCTATAACTAGGGTAATGAAAAGTTTCTCATTTTCAGATCATTCCTGCAACCCTAGCCTGCTGAGTATCATTACACACATAACTGTACCAACCCAAGCTCCTGGAAATTCATCTACTCTAGCCCCTACATCTGCTCCACCATTAAAGAGTGGGCCTTTTCTGGATACAGAGAGTTTTATTGGGCTGGTAGTCTTTGTTCTCTGCCTTTTGTATTCTAGGTAAGTTAACATGGGCTCTGGGACATATATTCCTCAGTTACGTTTTCCATCCATGGAGGTTTATTGGCAGGCATTTGAGCTACTTTAGTATGTTCTGGTGTCGTGGCGGATACTGATGCAACTGCCTAAAAAGCAAGGAAGTTGGTCTGCACCACATTTGAGTGTTGAGAGCCATTCGTATGAGGAAATGCTTCCCGGGGGAATGATTATATGAAGCTTTTGTGTCTTTTGGTTTTTGCATAGCGAGATAAGGCTTGCAATTATGTAAGGTACAGTTACCAGCATTCGGAAATATTCATGTAAATGAGTTATTTTTAGGGTAAAAACAGTGTGTGATGTGCTTCGTGGGCCATGGACTGACCTGTACCATGTGTGTAATGTGCTTTATGGAACATGGCCCGCTTGAATTAGTCACCTCCCTGATGACATCTTTTATACACTTCTGGAACATGGTTCCAATACGTACCGTGTTTGTGATACACTTCGTGAAACATGGTACCAGTATGGCCCACTTGCAATTGGCTTCCCATTTTTTCAAGTAAAAAACCACCAACAATGATTCAGCATCCATTCTGTTAGTGAAAAAACATGGCATCACCAAAACATTAAAAAAAAAAAAAAAAAAAAAATCATCCTTGAAAGGGTTAAAAGGTGCTTAGGACAAGATTCTCATGAAGAATCTTGATCATTGTAGACAATCTTTAAACAACTGCAGAATTATATAACAGCTAAAGTTAAAGTAATACAAAACCCCAGAGATAGCCAGTGTTTACCAGTTTGTACCCATATTGCATTGCATTGAATCTGTAGATTAATTTAGGAAATTTTGCCATCTCAACACTATTACGTCTTCCAATCAGTGATTATGGGCTATCTTTCCATTTATTTAGGTGGTCTTTAATTTCTTTCACGGTTGTTTTATAGTTGTTAGTGTCCAAGTCTTACCCTTCTTTTGTTATGTTTATTCCTAAGTATTTTTTTTCTTTTTGATACTATTGTAAATGGAATTGTTTTTCTTAGTCTAATTTTTGGATTGTTAATTGCTGGTGTATAGAAATTCAGGTTTTTTTTCTATTTTGGTCTTGCACCCAACAACTTTACTGAACTCATTTATTGGTTCTAGTAGTTCTTTTTTTGTAGATTCCTTAAGATTTTCTAGATTCAAGATCAAGTCATCTGCAAGTAGAGATAGTTTTACTTCTTTCTTTCCAATCTGGATTTCTTTTTCTTGCCTAATTGTTCTGACTAGAACCTCCAGTACAGTGTTAAATAGAAGTAGTGAGAGCAGACATTCTTGTCTTGTTCCTGATCTTAGGGGGAAAGCATTTAGTCTTTCACCATAAAGTATGATGTTAGGTGTGGGTTTTTCATAGATGTCCTTTATCAGGTTGAGGCAGTTTCTTTCTTTTCCTAGTGTTTGAGTGTTTTTGTCATGAAAGCGTGTTGGATTTTGTCAAAGGCTTTTTCTGCGTCTATTGAGATGATAGTGTAGTTTTTGTCCTTTATTTGTATGTCCTTTTTTATTCAGATAGTCGTTTTTATTCAGATAGTTATTTAACAAACCTTTAGTGAGTATCTTCTGTGTGCTAGAGATACATAGGCGACTAAGGTCATTGTCCTTAAGGAGTTCTGTTAATAGCAAGAAAGACAGGAACACAGACATGCTTTCTATTTAGTATAAGTGCTGTAGCAGAGGGAAGCATAGGGACTATCGGAATTCGAGGAGTATCTCCTAAACCAGCCTTGTGAGGGGGTACTGTCAAGGAAAGCTTTCTAGAAGAAATGGCACACAGAGAATTAAAGGATGAGTAAGTTAGCTGGGAGCAGAGTGGTAGGTGTATATTCCAAGCATATAGGAGACACTTGTGAAGTCATAGGCACTGACACTGAGAGCACAGTGTTGTGGGGAACTCCTCAGTAATTAAGCCATCATGGAGTAATTGATGAGAGTACTGTCTGTCTTGTGACAACAGGCAACAGTCCAGTACTTGAACAGGGCCTTCATAAGGCCTTAGCCCTCAGTCCCCAAAGTAGAAGCAGCTCAGAAATAACCATCTATACAAGTCAGTGGAAGCAGTTCATCATCATGGCCCCTTTCTGATTTGTCTTCCTTGGGATCACTTTTCCAGCATTCGCACTTCCAGCAATAGCCAAGTGAGCAAGCTGACCCTGTCAGGAAGTGACAGCGTGATCCTCAGTGATACAGCTACCAGCGGTGCCAACGATGAAGCAGATGGAAAGCCTCGGCGGGCTGTGGACAATGAGAAAGAGGGAGTGCAGTACAGCTACTCTTTCTTCCATTTAATGCTCTGCTTGGCTTCCTTGTACATCATGATGACCCTGACGAGGTGGTACAGGTAGGAGACACAGACAAAGTGGATGGCAAACCACTTAGCCTCCTGGACTGCCTATAAAATCTCCATCCATTGTCCTGGCCCCAGAGTCTCTTACTCTTACCCATATAATAAGAAATTGTGTTCACTGCTGACTCTTCTGAATACTTCTGACTTTTTCTCCTTTTGCATTTAAAACCCACCTGGAATTCTTACGGTGCAAATTGTAAGGTGTTCATCCAGACTCGGGTTACTAGAGAGAAAATCATGACATAAAGTGATCTGGCCCACTCTTGTTCACTCATTTTTCTCTGTGTCTGGAGATGGCTGGCTGTCTCAAAGTCTTTTGGTCAAAGAAATAATGTGCTAATGCAGGGAAGTTTCACAGACACCATTGCAATCTAGACTTTTGCCAGTAACTAGAACAGGCAGATGTTCCTGAAGATCCTTGCCCAAGGAGTAGTCAGGTTCTTTGTGCTGGCAAGGAGATGAAAGCTGGTTGAGAGGCAGAGTCCCCTGCCTTTCATAAGAACTAAAGTTCACAAAAATGAAAAGCACCACCTTCCTCAAGTCCCCTCTAGAACCTTACTGGGGGGTAGTGCAGGCCAAGCTTCACTGGAGACTTTCTTGGCTTTGATTGGGGTTGCTGAATGCTGTTGTCGGGCTCCTTTACCTGACTCTTTCCTGTTTTCTTAGCCCTGATGCAGAGTTCCAGAGCCTGATCAGCAAGTGGCCAGCTGTGTGGGTCAAGATCAGCTCCAGCTGGGTCTGCATCCTTCTTTACGCCTGGACCCTTGTGGCTCCACTTGTCCTGACCAATCGGGACTTCAGTTGAACTTCTGAGTGCCAAGGAGACCACAGAAATTCATAAAGGTCTCCTTTGCTGAAAGCCTGTATCCCTTTTATCTTGGCTTCAACTAAAATATTAAGTGAACGCTTTGCAAATGTGACTATATCCAGGTTTATATCAGATGACAGGACTGAATAATGCTTGATGCAGGATCTTAGCTTTTCATTTATATGTATATTATGTTTATTTGTAAGGATATAGTGCAAAAGGAACATTTTTGCATTTTAAAGTGAACTACAGCTGTGCTGTGAAGAGAATTTCTTTATAAATACCTATATGTTCCTACAACTATGATTTAAGATAGAAAAATGTTGGATATTTGAGGCCATCATTAATATATTTCTATTGCAGTATCCTTAAAAAGAAAAAAATAATGCATTTATATGACAGCTTTCCTCTGTGAAAGCCCTAACTTGTATGATACAAGCACTCTGTTCCCTGCTTAAACTCTTTAAGAGGTGTAGCATCACTTGAGGGAAGGAGTTCATTGTATGGGTCCTTCCCCAGAAGAGTGGTTGCTGATATGGCTACTGCTTTTACATTTTGAGTCTTTTCATTTACTGTTTTTTGTTTTTAACACTACAACATTGATGCTGCTTGATTCAAATCTGTGGCTTTGCCAGATACATTCATTTCAATAAGTGCTTTTGTAGGTTTGGTTAAAGTGAAGATTCAGTTGGGAAAGCACTGCAGCTTTAGTCTGTGCAATGCTCTTGTTATGAGTATGTAAAAGTAAAATGCATGTGAATTTATTACATTTGCACTGTAAAGATATTTGATTAAAACAGAAAGACTTTAAGCTTTTAAAGCCCTTTCTTTAACAGCTTTTATGAGTCAACAGCTGTTCTGTATTTGTGGGACTTATATGGGCTGTCAGGTTTACCAAGCACCTAACAGGATGGTCCACTTCCTTCTAAAACTTAAGATCTGCCTGGTGACTACAGTTCTACACTTATTCAGAGTTGTGTTAAATATCTTCTCTGGGTGTGACACTTCAGTAGATGAGAGACAAATGAGGCACTGTCATGAAACTTATTCATGAGAAGTAGGATGCAAGGAGGTAGAATAGAACAGTTTGTTCTTTCAGCAGAGAGATACTGGGTGTCTGTTGTGTACCAGGCACTGTTAGGTGCTAGAGATACAGCTTTAAATATGACAGACACAGTTGACCATCTTGAACTCACAGTGTAGAGGAGGCTGAAAATGAGCACAGGAGTGCTTACAATGTGGTGTAATTAGTGCTGTGATTTAGGAATTGGAAAGGGCTCAAAGGAGAAGTACCTGGTGGATGTCATGGTAGGCTTCCTGGAGGAAGTAATGTCAAAGCCAAGAACTGATAAGAGTTAGCCAAAAGAGAAATGGGGTAGTGGGAAGGCATTGCTGAAGGGCAGATGAAACTGTATGTTAAAGGCAGGGAAATGGACAAAAAAATTGTTCAGGAAAGCTGGAAAAGGGAGAAGTGGGCAGGGACCAGGTTATGAAGGGCTTTTTAAACCACGCTAAAGAGTTGGACCTTGTGTTGAGGGCAACAGGGAACATATTCAGAGGGACGTGAACAAATTTTATCTCCGATCACTGTGGATGATACGTAGAGAATGGACTTAGAGAGATGAGACCGGGGCAGTCCACATGAGATTTAAAATAGAGAAGTAGAAGTGAGGATGGGGAGAAATTGAGAGCTACTTAGTAATTAGGATTAAAATGTGGGCAGTTGAGTAGATCTGGCAGGGGTGGGGGAGAAATAGATTATGGGGTGATTTGGTTTAATCACCTGAGCAGATGGTGGTTCCATTTATTTAGGAGGGAAACGAGGAAAAGGAGCAGGCTGGGCCAGAACGGTGGAGGTGTTCAGTTAAGAACGGTTAAGTGCATAGGCTTGGGAGTTAGACTGTTTGGGTTTGCATCCCAGCATTGCCGTTGTCTAGCTGTCAAAGTGGTCAGCTAATATTTATTGAGTTTGTGCTGTGCTTTATGACCTCGGGCTGATGACTGTACCTCTCTGAGCCTCGGTGTTGTCTTCATTTGTACAAGATAGTTCCTAGTATAATTCATTGTTTAGAGAGTATAGTTACTTTACAAAGTGCTTAACCCATGGACAGTATTCAAAGGTCAGAGATGTTTAGCCAGAATTTGATGGAGACTACATTTGAGCTGCTTCTTAGAGAATTAATGAGATGGAACATAGAGCAGGCAGTCTCAGTTGGGGTGGAGGTCAAGGTTAGGAAAGCAGGGCTTGTTAGGAATTGTTGGAACAATGCCTTTCAAACTAGTAGTTGATGTCAGGGTACAGAGATAAAAGTTGCAAGGGTTTGGGGAGCAAATAGGGGAGATCTGGACACGTCTTTTACCACTGTAAAGCAGATACCCTACTTTCCTTAACAGCAGGTCCAGCCAGATTAAGACCTTTAAAGGTCCTAAGCTTCAAAAAACATGATGCCCCACCCCTGCTTTATGTAATTCAAAATAAAAGCAATACTAAACTGTAAAATACATGTAACAAAGTGCAATAAAGTTTTTATTTTTTTCGTGGTAACTTCAGTATTTGAAGTAACAAATTCTTAAAAAGTTTTGGGGGACGGTGTCCCTGCTTTGCTTGGTGGTACTCTAAGAATGAATTAAGTCTGCCTGTTGGCAGTTAACCCAGTAGTTTACAAGGCTTAGGTAAACCTATACACCTAAGTTTTGAATTATACACAGGCATAAATAATGCATTTTTAGTAAACCCAGGACCATACTTTAAATTAAAGCAGGGCAGTATTTTGAATCATCAGATCTTACCATGGTGTCATCCTATCCCAGATGAGTCATCTGTTGTCACTGAACAAGCCTGCCTGTCCCCCAGGATTGCAGATTGAGGGTCCTGGCTTTGAGGTCAGCAGTGTGCTTTAGGAATTCATCAAAGGCAACAGCACAGCTGCTGCTTTTACCTAGTGCAGCTGGAAGAACGCTTGCAGGCCCATGTTAGACTAGTTTACTTTCTAGGTCGGTCTTGTGAGGTACTCACTGGGTTGGGAAATAAAACTCTCTCTTGATAGTAAAAAAATTGCCCAGAATGCCCATGGCCTGGTTGTCAGTGCTTTTGATGTTCTAGACAAACCACAACTGAGGCCTAATTTAAACCAGGATAGTTCTTCCCCATTACAAGTCCTTGCTTGATTGCATTTTTCTTTTGCACATCAGGCTGAAGTGAGTATTTAGGTAATGTGATCAGACATTTCATCCATGCATATTGATAGCAGTTACCAGGCTTATGCTGTTAATCTCTTCACTCCTGTTCAGTTGGTTTATCTATCTTGTTACATAGGAGTCCAGATGAGTCAGCCTATTCAGTAATGTCCTCATTACTGCTGGGTGACTCAAGCCATGCAATGCCTAAGTCCTCAGGTGAAGAATAGCAATAGATACCACATAAATAGCTACATGCAGTAAGCAGCGAACCAACATTACACCCCCCCTGTAAGGTGGTGATTATTCTCTCCCTTTTACAGATCACACTTTGGCTTAGAGAAGTTAGTGACCTTCCCATGGTTACTCAGTAAGAGGCTAAGCAGAGAAACAAACCCAGGGCTGACTTCAGAGCTCTCGTTCAGTTGGACCACATTGTCTTGACCCATGAAGATAGAGGAGACACCGTGAAACATTCGCTGCCATTGATTTATAGGTGTGCCAAACCAGTATCATGGCAGGCATGAGCACTGGGGAAAACTAAAGGGTACACAGAAAAGAAACCAGAAAGTGCCAACTCAGAACATGTAGAATAACTTCCTGTGGCTTATAAAGTGCCTCAGTTGATCCTCATAATACCACTGTAAGGTAAAAGGATTGGAACCATTGGCTTTATTTTTCCAGAAGTGAGAAACACTGAGCTTAAGTATGCTGGTCCAGCCTCTACAACTTCCTCAGCAAAGGCTGAAGAGCCGGTTAGGCTGTAGTTTTTAAGTATTTACCTGTTGCATCATCAAAAGCAACGTAAGTGTATGGACATCCTGTGTTAGAGTGTTTCTCAACTGACTCATCAATACACCAGACTCACTATGGGGACCTAGCTTTTGTCTCCTCTGGGGCAGAGTGTGTGTTCCTCAATAATAATGCACAGGGGGCATGTGGAGAAACAGCCAAGTGTGCCACAGGATCAGAGTCAATCAAGCCACATCCTAGTTACCCCTCAGAGTCTGGGTTTGCTTATAGGTGCCTTCTGGAACAAAATGTTCAGTTACAACTTAGGTCGTCGCAGAAGTTAAGAACTGCTGCTTTATATCTTCCAAGAAGCCAGAAAACAAGCCAATTTTCAGACATCACTTTCTTACTCTATAAAAGATTTCTACCTTCTTTCTGTGTTCTATTTGGGGTTATTTGACTACAAGAATGAGACCTGTACAACCTAATTCCAACCACCAGGGAGAAATAGTGGGCTCTAGTCAGCCTTCGAATCCCAACTCTACTACTTGTTAACTGTATGTCTTTGGGTAAGCTACTTAACTGTTCTGTACCTCAATTTTCCTCACAGGGGCAATAATGCCACATTACAGGTGTTTGAAAATGAAATGATAATTTAATCTTTGCATGATTGATGCTCAGCCCACATAAGAACTCAGGAATTGTTAGCTATTATTATTAGAAGGATTCAAGGACAGTGTAGAAAGTACACCTGGGCCTCATGAACTGAAAAATGTGTGTATCTTGTCTCTACCACTCTGTACAGCTAGCTTATTCTCCTGTCTACACACTGGTGTCTTCTAATTGCACATGACTGTCCAAGGCAGCCAGCCCAACATCTATAGACTGCTGTCCCAGTGCCCTGTCCTGCCTCACCTGGAGGTTCTGCCAGGGCCATCATGAACCATGAATAATAAACCTCAGAACCTTTACCCAAACCCTCAGTGTACAAAAGAACTCCACACACACTCAACTTTACAGGGATTTTTATTATTTAAGACCCAGTCATGCATAATCAAATTACATGTTTTCACCACTCTGACTTAGAAAATACACTAGAAAAATAAACTTTTGGTCAAAATAAACACTGAAGTAAACGAGTCCACCGCTGCATATCCCTACCCTCAAAGCTAAACTGAATTTCAGTTTGAAGCAGGGAATGTGACCAGGGGTTGAAATGGTGCCCCACTTCCCACCCCTTCAGAGTGATATCAGAGATGCTTGGCCACAGAGAATTTCAAGTATTGTAAGACCTTACTGCCTGACCAAATATGCTGCCCAGTGATTTTTTTTTTTAAAGCTAATTGAAAAATAGTGAACTCCCTATCATCCGCATCACAGATCACACTGGGGTTTTCCATGGAGCAAGCTCCTATCAGGAGGAATAGCTGACTGACAATCCATCTGAACCCAAACCAACAAGGCTGGCTTCTTACACTTCAAGCAGGCTTGTTTTTCTGAGTCGGTAGATCAGGAAGGAACTTAACTTGAAGTTTACAAAATTAACAGACCAACACCAAAAGGTGTTAGTGGAGTTGACATCTCTGAACTTGTGACTTTTTTCTGCTCAATGTCGCCACACCTCTCGTGGCCACAGGACAGCCACACCTGTACATTAGCTTAGCTGACATTTTACTCCCTAAAAGAAAGGTTTCAAAGGAAAACCTTAAAAGCTGGAAACTTCTTAAAGTGAGATAACAATGCCACAACCGTACTATAGCTTTTCCCAACCCAAATGAAAGAGTAATCCCATGACTGATGTGAGACTCAGACAGCATTTGAAGAAACTGCCCACCCCAGAGAGACTTCTGAAAGGCCCACCATCTCACAGGAATTCCAGAAAAATACTGCCCTGGCTCTCCTGGCAAAAGCTTGGTATCTTACAACCCGCAGTGTTTATAAACCCCTAAGAACAAGGGAGTTCGTGTGAAAGCAGGATGAGGAATGGGGGCTTCAGAGCCACCTTAGCCAGAACAAATAAACTCAGGATGTGAAGTTAGGGTCTGCACTTTAAGCTGTTTCTAAAAATGTCTTCCATCCATTCCTAGTCTACCTTCCATGAAGGTAGACTAGGAATCCAGGAAGAGGCACATTTTCCTAGAATTCCGTGTAGTGGTATAGGGGAAGAGGAGGAAAAAAAAATGCCTTTATTACCTAAGCTTACAGATTCATTTGGAAACTTTAGGTGCCAATTCATTCAGGTCTGTTGTGTGCCATCGAGTTGATTCTGACTCATAGCAACCCTATAGGACAGAGGAGAGCTGCCCCATAGCGTTCCAAGGAGCAGCTGGTAGACTCGAACTGCCGGCCTTTTGGTTGGCAGCCTGAGCTCTTAACTACTTTGCCACCAGGGCTCCCATTCAGGTATAGATTTCCTAAATATATTCCAGATGAGGAGGGAAACCTCTAAAAAGAGAGAACAGTGTCCCTGTGACAGTAAAGCTGAGATCAGGGTTTCAGAGCTCAGAGTGTGGATCAGCCAAGGCCACGTAACAAGGTAAAGGTGGAATTCAGGTCTCCTAATTTACAAACTTCCTCTTCCCAATACCACATTGCCCTGGATTTAGGGAAAAGTTAATTTCCAGATGTTTGTAAAATGGGTCAGAACTTCTCCCTGAAGGAAGACACTCCCAGTTCTGCTCTCAATGTTCAGTTTGCTCAGGCTGCCCAGGCTGCCAAGGCTCTCCCCACTACTGAATGAGGCTCTGAGTGCTCCAGTCTGTCATTCCACACCCCACAGGGGTAACTGTATACAAACACCACACGGAGACTGCCTTGATCTTCACCCAGGGAGGTCCTGATTTAACAGCCTGCTTCAAACCTCCTGAGGTGTGGTCTCTCTTTGGAGCTGATACAGAGCACAGTGGCTCCAGGAGGCAGGCAAACCTCAGCCCTGACTCCTGTCAGCTGATGAAACAGCTCCTTCTTGGTTGAACTGGAAACGCCCGGGAAATGGGAAGCATCTGTCCTGGTGCTCATGCATTTCTCTAGGTGAGTTTGGCCATCCCTTTGTTAAGCCACAGACACAAAGGCAACTGGCCAGGAACCCAATGGTAGAATTTAAACCTTGGAAACTTGAGGGAGCTGAGTGATTCATTTCTTGCTTTCTCTAGGTTTTTTTCTTCAAATTTTTCTTTCCTCTTGGGGGACCTAAGAAAGCCAATTCTCCAGACAGTTGCATTCTGAACCCTTTACCTTAGCCATGCCATTTGCCCCATTTAGGCTTTCCCAGCAATGCTGGCCACATCGTCATCGTCAGATGGAACTAGAAGCAGCCGGGGCTGTGCATTTTGGCACTTCCAGCTCAGCCAGGTCCCTGGAGGATACAGGGCTAGTATCCATGGTGAAAAGAGCTTTCCCTAGAATTGGCACTAATGATGTAAGTAAATTAATTTCCACCACCAACTTCTCCAGGCATTTTAAAAAGTGCTACAAAGATGAACGGCTTAGTAACAACAGACAGGCCTTTGAATTTCCGAGTACTGTTCGCTTCCTAATTGAGCTGTCTGCCTTGCCTGGTTGGTCTAATAAATACATGGAGAAGGTGCACAACACTCGTCACTATGTTAACACCGTAATATACACGGAATGAATATGAAGACAGGTCAAAGCCATCTGATGAACCACCTAATGTAATGCTTGGGCTAAGGCTAAATTCTTGATAGGAAAGATCTAAAGTGCTAAAACACAGCTAACACTCAGGCTTATTGGACCAACTGAAATCTGTCTTCCCACACCTGAGAGAGAAACCAAAGTGGATTTGGAAGGGCAAGGGTCCCAGAAGTGGCCCAGCTATGACCTGCCCTCACGTTCATTTCCAGAGACAAACATTTAAGAATACCAAGTAATGTAACCATTCACTGTTGCCAGGTTTACAATATACCACCACAGTGTCAGGGATGGAATGTATCCATATAGGATCCTGGTCATCTCATCTGCCCTCTTAAGCCTTCACAGAAGTCATCCTTTTAAAGTTTAACCATCACTACAAAATGGAAGTTGGTATCACTGAGTCCCAGGAATATATATACTAGTTTCTTCAAGGGCAGGGCCAAATGGTGACACATCCCTCTTGGAAAGGCCCACGTGTGACACAGAAAATGGGATCCAACTACTTCCATCTAGAGAGTCACTTTCTAGGCAGAATGCCAATGTCAAACATTATTCAATAACTACCAAATCCCAGAACCTCAGCAGCCAAAAGGGCCCTAGACATCACTTCTTCCCACCTCATTTACAGACAGGAAAACTGAGGCCCATAAGGCCCACAGAAGTCCAAGGTCACACATCTAGGGCTGAAGCCCTGGTCTCTAATTCCTAGGCCAGAATTCTTTCAGCTACACTGGCCTGGAATCCAGTATTTTGGGTTGAGTAAAATCATATACTTCCAGGAACCTGCATGGTTCTATTGAAAACCAAGGCTAAGGCTTTACGGGTTTGGGAAAACTGAAGTTTCTATTGCAAGAGTCAACCCGTGAATCCCAGGGGTGCTTTAAAATCTCTGGCTCCTGAACTTGATCAGGAAATTCTGCTTATGTCCTGAAGCTTGCATGATACAGTTAAGGTGCTTTCCAAACCCACTGAAGGCAGCCGGGGCCTGGACCTCACACTTGGAAGTTTCCTGATGAGCAACAGAGGTCTACAGATAGGGCTCATGTGAGAGGCGCAAACTCCCAAGTCTCCTGTGTGGCCACCCTGCCACAGGAGAAAGACCTGGCAATCTGCTTTTATAAAGATTACAGTCTAGAAAACTCTATGGGGCAGTTCTACTCTTCACATGGGGTCACTATGCGTTGAAACTGACTTGACGGCACCTAACATCCAGTGCTCCCGTCTCACATGGAGTGAAAGGTTCGGCCAAACTGCTTCCTGGAAGTGCGCTGACTACCAAATCGGGTGGTTTTCTGCAAAGTGGGATCAAAGTGACTTTGGTCCTGATTTTTCTTGCTTCAAGATGCATAAAAACCGGATACAGCTTCCAGATTAATGGTCGTGCACTCAGGAATCACCGGTGACATTTTCCAGGGCTTCCATGGAGTAATTCAAGTAACCAAGGGCTCACCCCATGGCTTGCTGCCAAAGCTCAACAGGCTTTTCCTCTGGGCTGCAGTTTAATTACAAGGAGCAAGACTGCATCCATGGCACCTTAAATTCTCCTTGTGCCTCTCCGAAGGAAAAAGGAAAGGACGTGATGATGGTGACACACAGAGGCTGAGCCATCTGGCCGCCTGGCTAGTAGCAGGAGTACAGCTGTGATTTCACAGCCCACATGGAGTCATCACACTGTGCATCTGAGGTCAGCCCTTTGGGCAGCGGGGCCTCACCCAGGATGCTGTCACAGGTAGGGACAGGCTGGCAGAACTCTCTCACAAAGACCTCCTCTGAGGCCAGCAGCACCTCATTCCAGGTGGTGGTGTCCAGCTCTCCAGCTGTGCCCCCATACTCCTTGGGGAGAATGCTTCTTGGAAGGCTTGTGTGGAGTGAGTTCAGGTCAGACCCATGGAGGAAGAACTAAGAGGGGAAGGGAATGAAAACACACACATCCTTCGGTTAATCAGTAGTACAGTAATCTACTTCATGGTAGATGCTCAAATGAATATCTACTGAATGAATAAAGGAACAGTTAGTGGCAACTCCACCCTTCTTTCTAGTTCCTTAGCCCAAAAATCTTGTGGTGGTGGTGGTGTGCACCGTCGACTTGATTCTGACTCGTAGCGACCCTATAGGACAGAGTAGAACTGCCCCATAGGGTTTCCAAGGCCATAATCTTTATAGGAGAAGATCACCAGGCTTTTTCTCCTGCAGAGCCACTGGTGGGTTTGAACCACAACCTTCTGGTTAGCAGCTGAGCACTTAACCATTGTGCCACTAGTGCTCCTTAAAAAGCTTGTAGTATCCTCTTTTCTTTATACCCTGCGCCCTACTGGCTGGACCTCTGAAATATATCCAGAATCCAACCACTTTATTACCACCCTAATCCATGCCACCATCACCTCTCACCTGATTCTCATAATAGCCTCCTACCAGGTATCCCTGCTCCCACTCTCATCCCACCACAATCTCTTTTACAGTGTAAGTCACGTCACGACCCTCCTCTCTTTACAACCTTCCAGTGCTCCCATCTCACATGAAGTAAAATCCAAAGTGCACACAATGGCCCACAGGCCCTTCCCAGTCTGGCCCGTTACGTCTCCCCTCTGCTCTCTTGGCTCTCTCCACACTGGTCTCCTAGCTGTGCCTCCAACGTGCCAGGCACGCTCCCTCAGGGTCTGTGTAGTTGCTGGCCCCTTGGGTTATCTGTATGGCTCACTCCCTAACCTCTTTCAAGTCTTGGCTCAGATAGCAACTTCTCAATGACACCATTTCTTCCCACCCTATTGAATATTGCAACCCCTTTCCTGCCTTCTACACTCACTATCTCCTTTCTCTGCTTTATTTTTCTCCATAAAACTTTTCACATTCTAAGGAGCTGTTGGCACAACAGTTAAGTGGTTTGCTGCTAACTGAAAGGTTGGCAGTTCAAACCCACCCAGCAGCTCTGAGGGAGAAAGATCTGGCGATCGGCTTCCATAAAGATTACAGCCTAGAAAAGCCTATGGGGCAGTTCTACTCTGTCACATGGGATCACTCTCAGTTGAAATCAACCTGACGGCACTTAGCAACAACCTTACTAGATAACATACATCATCCACTGTCTGTCTCTCCCTCTAGAAGGTAAGCTTCCTGGGGGCAGGGATTCTTACCTATTTTGTTCATCTAGAACATGACTGCACATAGTAGCTGATCAATAAATATGTCTGAATAAATGAATGAACATACAAAAGAATAAATGAACAACAATACAGGCCACAAATAATGGCATTCCACAGATGTAAAAACCTGGTCCAAAGGCTGCTTTGGGAAAAGCAGGGTCCAAACAGGATCTCCAGGAACTAATGTGGGTTTAAATTCAGGCAGGGAGGCCATGGAATGAGTGGTTCTCAAACCTAGCTGTGCATCAGAATCACCTAAGGAGATTTTAAAAACACAGATTCCTGGGCCACACTTCAAGTTGATGAATCAGAATCCTCAGGAGAAGAGCCTGGGATTTGGATTTTTGACAAGCTACCCAGAGATGTCAGAGTTACAGCTGAGAACCACTCGACTTTTCGTTCCCTCCCCTGCAACCCGGAGACACTCTATGCACTTCCTCTCTGAAACAGCGTAAAATTCGGGACCTAGTCTTCGGAGCGACCACAGTATTCTTAGGCCTAAGGAAGAAAGAGGAAAATACCACCCACCACATTTTAATCAGCTGTACTGGGAAAGGTTAAACGAGAAATGGCTATTCTGGGTCCGAGAGGAAGACTGTCTTTTAAAGTGTCATCTATCTTAAGTAAGAGTTAGGTTAAAAACTCACACATCTCATAAGTGCTCCACAGACTTTATGCAGTGAGAAAACAGTGCTTTTCAACTCCAAGGTGTTACATGAGAAATCACAACTCTTTTTATCTCTCTGCCCGATGCCTTCCCTCCCCACTTCCACTTTCCATGTCCTCTTACAGACAAAATAAACTGTTGGCTCACGATGCCCAAGCCAGGATCTAAGATGTCTAAATGATTACAGAGTAGTAACCATTTAGCAAATTAGTAGTTCCAGAGCAAAAAGAATAAACTAAAATAAGTACTAAGATGTCACAAATAAAATAAATCAAGGGAGCAAAAAAAAAAAAATTATTTGTGATCAACAGGATCATCACTTACTCTGTTTGCTATTTTCTCCTTCAGAAACGGTTTTATGATGGCAAAAATGCCTTTAAATATTCGAGGTTCATTTACCACATGGACTGCTTTTATCCGAATGGGGAAACCATCCTGTGGGGAAAAAGGGAAAGGGATGTTATATCATCTGGAGTATCTGCCAACTTCTTCCAACTGTCCATTCCATTCCACAGCCTGCCTCCCCCATTTACATCTTCATTTTAGGCCCCTATACTAATCTGGTCTGATTCTCATGGTGTCCCCAAAGACAGCCCAAGTTGGGGCTGAATAGGAAGACACACCTCAGGGAGAGTATCTCTGGGACCCAGAGCTGGTTTAGAGAGTTAGACAAGTGCAGAGCTGCTCCTCTTGAGGCAAAACCCGGTCTGAGTGTGGATGGATCTAGCAAACATCAGACCTTCCGGATCAGAGCTGCCCGAAGCATATTTCTCAGGATGTTATTAGGTTGATGGCCAGAGGGTTCCTGGGTAGGTAAATGAGTCGACAGACAGAAGACTAAACAGTCAGAGGAGTTTCCTTAACTGCAGGGCTGTTCAGAGCCTTTCATATGCAGGTGGTTACTTCACAAGAGAAGGACACACCGCACCACATTTCCCAAACTTATTTAACCCTTCGCTAATTCAGGCCTTTCCCTCCAGATCATCTTCTCATTTTACAGGGCTAGGAAAACACTGATCCAGACTCATTATCTACACAATACTCAGCTGAGGGCATCAAAAGACGGGTAGAAGCCAAGGGAAGCCAGAGTGCTGGTTCAGATTTATGATAAGGACTAAATGTGACATTTGTGTGCTTAAATAATGAGCCTGGTGCTTGAATAATGAGCCTGGTGCACAGTAGGGGCTCAAACACATTTGTGGGACTCAACTAAGAACTCTAGTGTCACTGGTGCTCATAGTTAACAGGAGCCATGCCCCAGGTAGCAGGTCAGAATGAACAAGGAATCGAAACCAGGCTCTAGTCCCTTGTAGCTGTGTGGCTTTGGCCAAGTTGCATGCTCTGTAGGTCTCAGTTTCCCCATCTATCAAGAAGGAAAAGAATTCTTGCCCTGTCTCAGAGGATTCCTTGAAGAACTGAATGGATTGTAATGACTACAAATATGCTTGGTAAACCATCAGGCACTGCAGACATGTAAAGAACTTTTGTTTGAATGAGAGGATGTTATCGCTCCCACTGACTTGTGTTCTGAAACACAGAACATGAGCTGTGAAAGCACCTGGCCAAAACCCAGTCAACTGTGCTCCACGCCCCAGGTCCCATAGCCGGCTTGAGAGACTCCCATCAACTGGGGCAGCACAATCTCCGAGTTTCCTTTGTTAGGAGAATTCCTTTGCCTTCTGGATAAAAAAAAAAAAAAAAAAACATAAAATGCGGAGAGCATTTCCCTGCTTTTTCAACTCTTGCCCTAACGCCAACCTGCCCAGACTGAAGGCACTTGGAAACTGCTGGAGACCCTGATGAGAATGAGTAGTAAGCAGAACTTCTTAAAGTTTTTCCCAGAATGCCTGTGTATTTTTCTGATTGCAGGAGTAGAAAGTAGGGTTTGCATGTCCCCTAACATCTGCAGTAAATGGAAGGGGCCCTAAGAAAGCCAACACCACCCTGGAACAGACACATAACAGATATGGACCATACCTGGAGGATGCCAATTGCCTTTTTGGCAATAAAAGGGCCAAAATGAGATGCCTTTGATAAGCTCACTCCTTTGTAGTCAGCGAGGATTACAATTCCATTCACCTGCGTTTCTTCAGACTGAATGAGCTTTTCTAATGTCAAGTATATGGCTCGGATGTTCTCGGTAATTGGATAATTGCTCGGGATCCATCTGTCTACAGTTATAACAGACGGACAGTATGTTAGGGAAAGGAATACAAACAAGTAATCAAACAGGCTAAAATTTATTTCCTTTCTAAAATGGTTGTTTAAACTGGAAAAGAAGGAGATTCTAATGGCCACCATTCTACTTAGGTTAGTAAATGTGACACCTTAACCAGCAGCCAATGTGTCTTAACTTCAAACACAGCACCACATTCTGAAATGGAAAAGCAATCCAGTGTTGAGGTTAGAAGTATGAGCTCCACTCGTCTCAGCCCTTCGGGAGCAAGAGAGAATGAAGAAAACTCAATATACAAGGGAAAGATTAGTCCAAAGGACTAATGGACCACAACCACCAAGGCCTCCACAGACTGAGTCCAGTACAACTAGATGGTGCCTGGCTACCACCATGGACTGCTCTGACAGGGATCAATCACAACAGAGGGTCCCAGACAGAGCTGGAGAAAAATGTAGAACAAAATCCTAACTCACAAAAAAAGACCAGACTTACTGGCCTGACAGAGACCAGAGAAGCCCTGAGAGTATGGCCTCTGGACACCCTTTAGCTCAGTAATGAAGTCACTCCCCAGGTTCACCCTTCAGCCAAAGATCAGACAGCCCCATAAAACAAAATGAGAGTAAAGGGGCATACCAGCCCAGGGGCAAGGACTAGAAGGCAGGAGGTGACAGGAAAGCTGGTAATAGGGAAACCAAGGTCAAGAAGGGAGAGTGTTGGCATGTCGTGGGGTTGTTAACTAATGTCATAAAACAATATACGTTCTAACTGTTTAATGAGAAGCTAGTTTATTCTGTAAATCTTCATCTAAAGTACAACTAAAAAAAAAAAAAAGAAAGTGGCTGTGTGGCAAGGAACTGTGGGTGGCCTCTAAGAGCTGCGTGGCCCCATTTTACAGCAAGCAAGAAAACAGGTACCTCAGTCCTAGAACCACAGAAGATTAATTCTGCCAAAAGCCTGAGAAAACTTGGAAGTTGTTCTTTCCCCAGATGAGCCTCTGATGAGACCACAGCCCTGGCCAACACTTAGATTGCAGGCTGGTGAGGCCCTGAGCAGAGCACCCAGTTAAGCAGTGCCTGGACTCTTAACCCTAAAGAAACCATGAGATAATAAGTATTTGTGTTGTTTTAAGCCACTGGGGAAAAAAAAAGGATGAGCTCCAAAGTCAGACACACCTGGATTTGAATCTTACTAGCTTTGTGACCTTGGGCAAGTTAGTTGCTCTGAGCCTCCATCTCCTCATAAGTAGAATGGGATAATATTACCTACCTTAGCAGACATCTGTGCTTTCTGCTATCAGATAGTTGCCCTTATTCTCATAACACCATCCTGATTTTCCTTGGGGACCACCCCCTCCCCACCCTAGTCATGTAGTTTGGGTAGAACTGACTTGACTTCCAGTACCAGAGGTGGGCAAGTGACCTGGCTTGGCCATCCCAGGAGTTGTATCATCCTGGCCAGGTCAAACAGAGCCAATGAGACTCAAGGCTGGGATTTTGGCCCTTTGGAAAGAGAATTTCTCTCTTCCCACTTGCAGTGCTGAGGCTACGAGCCTAAGATTCAGGGGCCCCATGAAGCAAAAACCAGCCTGGGAATGAAGCTTTGGCCGAAGAAAGCCGACATGGAGACATCTTTCCAATGCCATAGTCAGCCCCTGAATCCAGCTGCACCTACACTTTCGTTTAGCTGAGCAAATGCATTCCCTCTTTTGTTTCAGCCAATCTGAATCGGCTTTCTGTTGCTTGCCACCCAAAGACCACATCCGAACTCATACACCACCTTCAGCAGATGTTGTGAAGATGGAGCTTAATGCTTACATTCAGGAGATCCCTCATCAAATTCCTCTTTTGAAGCTGGAAGCTCCTTTACTATATTCCTCTAATATATTCCTCCCCATGTATTTAATGATTTTTCTTCTCTTTGGGAACAAGATGAAAATATCAACTTTTGACTGTTAAGCACCATTCTCAAGAGAATCTCACCAAAATCTGTGTATAGATGTTTTAGAAAGATGAAACTTCACATGATTGCTACCAACGGAACATGTGATAGACGTGCAAAATTCCTAGGGAAAATCTTTGTTCAAAAATTGTGCCAGCTTGCTGTTTAATGTTGCTGCTGATTAAACAGCTGGATGTCATCCTTTCCAATCTCATATGTCCTAGAAGAGGTTATCAGGAGGTGAAACCGATGCCCAGATGAGAGCAAAGCTCTCTGTTTGTATGCCTCCTCCTAAAGAGTTAGGTTGTTGGGGAGGGATCCGGATCTGCTCTGGACATATGGAAAAATTTCATCTTATGACCAAAGGTGGTTGAAACCACACAAGCAAAGAGCTGAAACCAGTATGGTAAGATCTGTTTTGTAATATTCTTCTGAGAACAGAAGAGCAGCATAAAAGTCCATTGACTAGTTTCTAGGACTTTTGGTGTCCTGAAATTTCCAGTGCATTGCTTATTTTAAAAGGAACACCCCTAAGTGGAAGGTGCCTAGAACAGCAGGTAAAGTAGTTAATGCTGTGCCTGGTGCATACTAAGAGCTCAAGAGAATGGGTTCATCTCCAAAGTTTGGTAGATGACTAAAGGGAACAGTGACAGAAGCTTAAAGACAGAGGGAGGTGCAGGGAGATTGCCACTCCCTATCAGACTTCCCCTCGAGAGGAGTTTGCACACATGAGCACAAGAGGGCTGCCAGCCTGTCTGCATTTTCTGGCTCAGTCGGGAAGAACTTTGCAATCTTACTGTCACATTTTTTCTCCGCTCTGGTTTGATGGAAACTGTTGCAGCTGTGGGTGGAGTGAACACTTCTGAGTGTATAAAGCACTTGGTGTCATGGAAGAGAATAGGATTATGAATCAGAAGGCTGGAGTTCTAGCACCCCCTAGTCATTGTGTCAGCCAATCCATGTTCCCACACATTTCTAAATTCTCTTAGTGGTGAGGGGGTAGGGAGCAGCCCCCAACTGAAAACTGCCATGCCAAAGAAATGTAAGGTATCCTGATTACTAAGATCAAACAGTGAAAAAGTGAATCCTTTCAGTGGCTTAACAAAGTGGAGGGAAGGAAGGAAATGTTGGAGGCGGCATGTAGTAGACACCTTTTCAGGCACCTGCCCAGCCCACACCCCCTTTCACTGAGATCTCTACCCCAACCTGCTCACAACGGAGAGGTGTGGGGGGTTCTGGCAGCCATGCTTGTACCCTATGACCAGGGGCAGATTCCTCAGCCCACCGGATTCTCTTCTAGAATCTGGAACTTGGACTGAGGGAACTTAGTTGGCTGGCCAGGTAAACCTGAGAGCTGAGCGGGGGCAGATTTAGCCATGTACACAGAAGCAGCAAAAGCCAGTCTGCAGAGAGAGAGGTGTGAAGAAAATCTAGAAAGGTCAGCAGAAATGTGTGGCCTAGAGAGACACACAGACTGACAGACGGACAGTCAGAGGCATGGCCATCTTCACGCCTGATGACATTCTGGTTCTTGGTTCCAGGGCCTAGTGAGATGTGCTGCACTTTCAGCTCTCTGGTGCGTGAGGTACTTCTGTGTCCTCAGACTACAGCCTGCCTTTTTTCTTAGGCAGTTTGAGTAGGTTTTTGTCATTTGCCGTCAAAAGAGCCTTGACTAAAATAGCGTGGGGAGAGGACAGCAATGGGAGAGAGGATGCTGGACACACACATTCTGATATGGGTTGATCTGTGTTCCCCAAAAAAGATAGGTTGAAATCCTAATGCCTGTTACCTATGAATGTGACCTTGTTTGGAAATAGGGTCTTTGCAAATATAATTAGTTAACGTAAGGAGTAGGGAGGGAGGGCCCTAATCCAATATGACCAGTGTCCTCATAAGAAGGGAAGAGACACAGCCAGAGAGACATACAGGGAAGAAAGCCATGTGACCACAGAGGCAGAGATTGGAGTGATGCATCCATAAGCCAAGGAATGCCAAGGACTGTGGGAAACCACTGGCAGCTAGGAGAGAGGCATGGCACAGACTCTCTCTCAGAGCCTTCCAGAAGAAATCAAGCTTGCCGACATCTTGGTTTCAGACTTCTGGCCTCCAGAAGTGTGAGAGAATAAATTTCTGTTGTTTTATGCCACTCAGTTTATGCTTTGTTAGGGCGGCTGTAGGAGACTAACACACACCCCAAACAGAGAGAGTGTACACACACGCCCTGCAACAGTGTAGAAAATACCTGGGCGGATGCAGAGGATGTGGCAGCCCCTGGGGTCGGTGTGGGGCAGCACGGTGAGGAATCCGGAAGCGAAGACATCTTTTAGGGCCGACGGCTTCAGGTTATTGAAGACTTCGGGCCAGCTTCTCCTGCAGCTGTGGTAGTTGACCAGGAGCTGCAGGGCCCGGTCGTAATCAAACTTGCGGGCTCGGAGGAAGCGCAGTAGGAAGGCGTCGTCGAGCGAGGTGCTCAGGTTCGGGTACTCCTTCCGCACCATGTCACGAAGGGCCTGGACATCCCGAAGTCTCCATTCCGGCTTCTCCTGCAGCTCCTCCCTGGCTTTGGTGACCAGTTCTTCTGTCAGTGAGCACACATAGCCAGGGGGCTCGGGGGGTGGCGGCAGCTCATTTTCAGAAAGCGAGGCTGCAGAGGGGCTGGTTCTCACAGAGTCACTTTCTTCTGACATTAGCTACTAGGATCCTGCCAACACAGAAGCCCCAAGCGAAGTTAATAAAGCCCAGTGCTGCTCATGGTTAGAAAGACACAGAGGGACAGGAACATTTTTGTCAAGTCAAGTAAGCTCAGAGCAGTGTGGTTCTTAGCCTGGCGAATGAACTGGACCGGAACCATATACCCAGGTCCAACCTCAGACTGACAGAGGTTAGAACCTCTGTGGAGGCACCCAGGCAGCTACAGCAGAATATACGTCCTCCTCATTAAAAACATTATCTTGCTTATAAATGTATGAATTAAAATAATTTTGAGATTCAGACTGGCAAAAAAGAGAAGAAAAAGGCACTCATATGCTTGCTGTTGGTGGGAATATGAATGACACAGTCTCTTTGGAGGACAGTTTGTTAATATGTATCTAATTTAAAACCATATACTCTTTGACCCATCAATTCCATTTCGAGGGCATATACTTGTATGTATGTGTAATATATAGACATAAAGATGATTATTACAGTATTGATTATAATGGTACAAGACTGGAAACAACTGCACATCAGTAGGAGACTGGTTAAATAATATGATATATGAATGGAATACTATTCAGTCGTGAAAAGGAATTAGGCAGTCTTTATGCATTGACATGTTAAGGAAAAGGAAAGCAGGTTGCAGAACAGGGTGTATAACATAACTGCATGATTTATTTTTTATTGTGCTAAATATATATACAAAAACATTTGCCATTTCAACATTTTTTCCATGTTTAAGTCAGTGACACTAATTATATTCACTGTTATGCAACTACCACCAATCGTGTTTATGCTTTTTCAATATATACATGAATGCACTTGTGAGTGCACAGAAAACTTGTGAAAAGAGATGTAAGAAACTCTTACCCCAAATTACAACAATTGGTCTCTATTCGCCTGGAGCAACAGAGGAAGAAGGAGAGTCAGGAATACGAGGAGGAAATGGAATGTGTGGCTAATTGCCTCCATGAACAACTGCCTCCTTTGCAATGAGACCTGAAGAACTGATGGTGCCCAGCTACCATTACCGAACATTTTGATCAAAGATTCCATAGAAGAATTCTGATCAAAAGGTGGAAAATGTACAATAGAATTTCAAATTCTAATGGAATCCAGACTTTCTGGAGCCATTAAGGCTGGATGAACCCCCCAAACTATTGCCCTGATATAATCTTTAAATCTTAAACCAAAAATATTCCCTGAATTTTTCTTTAAACCAAACAATAGTTTAGCTTAATTAGTAAAGAACACCTGCCTACAGCACTGTGTTCTTTCAAGAACTCAAATTCACATAAAGAGACCAGACTTAATGGTCTGACTGAGACTGGAAGAACCCCCGAAGCCACAGCCCCTGGATGCTCTGTTAACCCAGCACTAAAACCATTCCCAAAGCCCACTCTTCAGACAAAGATTAGACTGGGCTATAAAACATAAGATAATATTCGTGAAGAGTATGCTTCTTAGTTCACGCGGATACATGAGACCAAATGGGCAGCTCCTGTCTGGAGGCAGGATGAGAAGGAAGGAAGGGACAGGAACTGGTTGAATGGACATGGGAAACCCGAGGTGGAAAGCAGGAGTGTGCAGTCATATTGTGGGGATTGCAACTAATGTTACATAATAATATGTGTATAAATTTTTGTATGAGAGCTTAACTTGAGCTGTAAACTTCCACCTAAAGCACAATTCAAAACAACAACAACAAAAAGAACTACCTATATGGAATCAAATTGACAACAGCAACTCGAAAGATTAGATAGGAAACAGTGTACAGTGAGTTTATGTTAATGGGAGAGGAACAGTTCAGAAAAGGAGGGTGAGAACAGCTGCACAACTTGAATGTATCAGTGTCAATGAACTGTACATTGAGAAATTGTTGAACTGGTTTAAATTCTGCTGTGTATGTTCTCAACAACCGCAAGAAAAAAGAAAAAAAGAAAAACTGTTACCAATGACTAGTTCTAGGTAACAGGACTGGACAACTGGACATTTAAGGTGGAGAAGAGACTTTTTACTGTACTGTTTGAATTTTTTTTATCATGTACACATGTAACTTATCGCAGTGGCCATGAAAATGCGGTGTTCAAATCTCCTGCTGGGGAAGCAGAATGTCGGGTGGCCCCAGGTGCTGCCCCCTGGATCTACCACCCCGTTTGCACTGAGGCCACACTTTCTACAGATGCTCCGAGCCAATGACTGAGACTTCAGGCATCTCTGTGGGCCTGGCCAAGCCTTTCTGGGAACTGCATTGCAGTCCTGGCTCTTCCTGCCCAAACCTCCTTCACTGGAGTCCGACCTGCACCCCAGTCTGAAGGCCCTCTCTGCCTTCTCCAGATTCCCTCCCCTTTGTTTTCCACAGGCATTTCCTCCAATCAGTTTCTTGCATGTCTAATCTCATGCTAGTGTCTGCTTCTTGGAAAACCTGAACTAACACATTGATTAAATTAAAAATAAAACCAAAAGCAGCTACCTTAGGGATTCCAGGGCAAAGGTGGCCGGAGGGCTGCCTGGCTCCCTAGCCCAAGCCCTCGTCCACAGGCTGTCACTGACCCTCCATTCCGAGCTCAGCAAGGAAAGCAGGGGCTGTCTCAGGGATCTCTGCACATAGCTTTGGTGTCCTGATTGCAACAAGCTAGTCTCCCCATCCACTGCAGCTAGAGTGACCAGGTCACTCCCTCTCCGTCTGAGGTCTGCTCCCACTTCCGTCTTTGCAGCCTCCAGCCCTACCCATTTCTTTCACTTCTTCCCAAAGGTGTGCTCTCCTGTCCTGTGCACATCCTGTTCCTCCCAACTAGCATGTTCTTCCTCCACTTCACCTGCCCAACACCGATTCACCCTTAAGTCCCTGATTAGACTTAATTCAACTTCATTAGATCACTCATTCAACAAATACTGAGCACTTACCATGTACCAGGCCCTCTTCCAGGTACTGGGGATACAGGAATGAACAAAAAATGCTGCCTTCATTGAGGTTAGATTCTAGTAGGGGACACAGACTATCAGCAAAATAATGGTCTGTAAGAAGGTGGTAAGTGCTACGGAAGCAGGGAAGGGGGCTGGATGTGCCTGGGGATGGAGGTTGCAATTTGAAGTAGGGTGGTCAGGGAAGGCCTCACCAAGGTGACGTTTTGGCAAAGGCCTGAAGGAAGCGAGGGAGCAAGCTACGCAGAAATCTGGAGTAAGAATAAGTGTAAAGCCTGAGGCAGGAACATGTCTGGCTTTTTTTGAGGAAAAGCAAGGTGGCCAGTGTGAAAAAAGTGAGCAAGGCAGAGAATAGTAGCTGATGAATTCAGACAGGTATGGGGACCCCAATGGTACAGGGCCTTGTAGGCCAGTAAGAACTTTGACTTTTACTTGAGGTGGGAGCTATGGAGGGTTTTGAGCAGAACGATATGATCTGATTTATATTTTAAAAGGATCACTCTGACTGCTTTCTTGTGAATGGAATGTAAGGGGATGAGGACAGAGACTATTTAGAAGCTATTGCAATAATCCAGGAGTGATGACGGTGGCTTGAAGTAGAAGCCTTCTCTGACCCCCAGGCCAGGCTAGGTGCCTCCCACACAGGAGCCTCTATTGCTCTTTGCATACCACTTCCTTCACTCTGTTGTAGGCAATCTGAGGGCAACGCCTGTGTCTGTCTTGTTCATCACCTTAAACCCAGCACCTAACATGGTGTCAGACACATGCTCTGCACCCCACAATACTTGTTGAATGAGTTTAACCAGCTTGGCATTGGCAGAGATATGCTGAGTGAGGTATGGCACAGCAATTCATGGGTTCACAGGACCCACTCCCACTCCAGGTTCTGTTTCCAAGGAAGTCAGCAACAAACACCAGTAATCCCAATCCAGCACCTACCTGAAAGACAGACTGCAGCAGCCACGGGCTACAGGCCTAGCCTCAAAGCCCCTCTCCAGCCTCATCTCCCATCTCTCCCCTTCTCAGTGTTTGTTAAATTCCAGCCAAAACAAACCAATGACTCATATACTGGGAACACCTCATGTATTTCCAATACCCTTTGCCTGGAATTTCCTGTCCTGGTTCCCAAGGAGGCAGCTTATCACCTCCCAGGCTGATTCCTTCGTTTTCCACAGAACAGGGTTCCTATTTCTCTTTTAGAAACTGCAGCCCAGTGTCCAGTGTGTTTACATGAAACTCCTGAGTCAGTTTCACCATTCATTCATCAAATAATTACTGATCCCCACTATAAGTGTCAGGAACCTTGTCCACAGGCACTGAGGACACCGCAGCGAACAACACAATTCTAAGCCTTTATGAAGCTTACACCATAACCCCTTGCCGTCAAGTCCATTCCCACTCATGGAGACCCCATGTGTTAGAAAATAGAACTGCTCCACAGAGTTTTCTTGGCTGTAATTTTAATGCAAGCAGATCCAGACTTTTGTTTTGTGGCACCACTAGGTGGGTTCCAACCGCCAATCTTTAGGTTAGTCCAGCCCAAACTGTGTGCGCCACTCAGGGATCGCTTACATCACAGTGGAATGATAAAAAGAGCTAATACGTATTTGAGCGCTTTACTATGTATCAAGTACTGCGCTAAGCACTTTACGTCCATTTTCTCATTTAATCTTCACAATATTTGGTGAAAGCACCATTACTGTTACCATTTTACAGAGGAGGAAACTGTCCACTAGAATGTAAATTCCATGATGGCAGGGAACTTGCCTGCCATGTCCACTGCTATCGACACCCAGCGCCTGGCACATAACAGTGCTCAGTAAACATCCGTGGAGGATGTGAGGCTAAGCGATGTGCCCAAAGATGCACAGCTACGGAGGCAGGGCAAGGACGTGTCTACCTCCACACCGGGCGCACAACCCCTACACGCCACCTGGAGCTTCGTGTTTAATCTCCGGGGCCGCGGCAGTGTCTGGTGAATGAACGGACAGGTGGACACACGCATGAGATTCAAGCAGCTTTTGTTAGGGTGAGGCCGGGAATTCTTGGGGGTGGGGACCGCAGGTTGACATGTCTTCCTCATCCGAAGCCTGTATTTGTGGAGCATCTCCCCTCTTTTTCGCCTTCCCCTCAAACAAGCAGAGGTCAGAGACCCCCACATCCCGCAGACAACCTTGCGAGACCCCCACTTCCGGTTGTCACCCCCTCCCCAGGTGTCCCCATTTCCTGGGGTCTCTCTCTCCTCGGGTCCCCCACTTCCGGTTATCCCTCCCTTTCAGGGGACCCTTTCCTTGACCCTTAGGACGCGTGGACAGGCTCGCGGGCACTCACCGGCCCGGCTACGGGGCGGAGCGCGGGTCAACCAGCAGCGGGAGCCTCGTCCGGCAGCGCACACTAAACCAACCCGCACTCCTTTCCCGGCCTGGCCCGGCCCGGCCCCTCGCGCCGGAAGTGACGTGCAGGGAAGGCGGGGCGCCCGTCTGTGAGTGCGCATGTGCGACAGTGCGCCGCAATGCCGGCGTTCTGGCTCCACCTAGCGGCGCTCTGGAGAGAGGGTGGTTGGGAGGAGCAGTCAGCGCGACAGTTTGTCCAGCCAGATTTATAGATGGGGAGACTGAGGCCCAGAGAAAGAAAAGAAAGAAGCTCACATTTTCAGAGAACATATGACCACGTACCTGGTGTCTCTCATCTATTATATCATTAATTTCCACGTTTATGAAATCCCCTATTTCATGAAAGGGGGAAACCGGCAACCAATGAAGTAAAGAGCTTCAAACCCAGACCCCAGGATTAGCATTCCAGGACTCTTCCACCCCAGCTGCTGCCAGAACTGGCTGTTCCAAAGGAGGGGATTCTACACTAAGGGACATCTGTCTGTCCTTAGCGGAGTGACTTGGGACAAGTCTCCATCCCTCCTTGGGCTTCAGTTGCCTCATCTGTAACGCTATTCATGCTCTGGAATCCTGATTCAATCATTGCACATTTCCTGCTTTGGAGTTAATGAAGTTCCAGACAGTGGTAGCTTGAAAAAGGCTTTACCAGACCCCTACTCCCAGTCCATTAAAGCCCCCATCCTTCGCACCCCAACACATTTTGTGTAACTGCGACTTTGAGATAAGTCTCCTAGGTCAGTCTTTCAGGCGGATTAAAGACACATCCATTTCTAGAGAGAAATTCTGGTGGTCTGGGGGACTCAGAGCCCAGAGGAATATCCAAGGAAAAACTGCGAACAGCCTCTACCTTTCCCTACCCCAAAGGGCAAGAGTTAGTCCTAGGGAGATGGGAACTGACCTACTAGGGCCACAAGAACATGGCAATCCCGCCAGATGCTAGATTGTGTGCATGTGTGTGTGTAGATACATAAGGGGGCCTGGCCTGGGAGTCATGAGTCCTCACTCCTGCTCTCAGCTCTACTACTTGTAGTGTTGCAGATAAAATACAGAATGCCCAGTTAAATTTGAATTTCAGATAAACACAATTTTTTTTAATATAAGTATGTCTCATGCAGAATTTGGGACATGCTGTTGTTGGGTGCCATTGAGTTGATTTTGACTCATAGCAGCCCTATGTGACAGAGTCGAACTGCTGCAAAGGGTTTTCTTTGCTGTAATCTTTACGGAAGCAGATCACCAGGTCTTTCTCCCTTGGAGCCACCAGGTGGGCTTATACCGCTGACCTTTTGGTTAGCAGCCTGGCACTTAACCATTGTGCCACCAGGGCCCCTTATTTGGGACATAATTCTTCCCCTCCCCCCAAATTACTCATTCTTTATCAAAAATTCAGTTTTAACTGGGTGTTCTTTGTGTGTGTGTGTGTGTAGTTAAATCTATGCTGTAACAAATTTTCACAAACTTAGTGGCTTAAAACAACATAAATTTATTCTTTTACATTTCTGGAGGTCAAAAGGAGTCCTGGTGCCACAGTGATTAAGAATTCAACTGCTAACCGAAAGTTGGCGGTTCGAACCCACCAGCTGCTCTGTGGGAGAAAGACGTGGCAGTCGGCTTCCAGAAAGATTTACAGCCTTGGAAACCATACGAGGCAGTTCTGCTCTGTCCTACAGGGTTGCTATGAGTTGGAATCGACTTGATGGTAACAAGTGGGATTTTGTTTATTTGTTTTTTTGGAGGTCAGAAGTATAAAATCAAGGTGTCAACAGAGCTGCATTCCCTCTGAAGTCTTCAGGGGAGAATCCATTTCCTTGCCTTTTTCAACTTCTAGAGGCCACCTCCCTTCTTTGGCTTATGGCTCCTTCCTTGGATTACTCTAACCTCCTACTTCTGTTGTCACATTTCCTATTACTGACTCTGATCCTCCTGCCTTCCTCTTACAAGGACTCTTGTGATTGCACTGGGATGACCCAAATAATATAGAATAATCTCCCCATCTCAAGATCCTTAACTTTCTTAACTTAATCATGTCTGCAGAGTCCCTCTTAACCATATAAGGTAACAAGGGATTAGGATGAGACATCTTTGGGAGGCCATAATTCAGCCTACACAATTTGGCAACCCTATTCCCAGACCTTGGCCAAGTCACACTCCCAAAGCCTCTAGTTCCCCAAGGGCAAAAAGACTGATTAAATGAGCTCATAAAAGGAAACACTGCCGCATGCTAGGCAAACAGTAAATGCTTAATAAATGCCATTTGTGTGGCAAAGGGTGACAGACAACCCCGTGCAAATCATGCTGTCCTAAGAGTTGTGATAAACCCCTCTCCTCATCGTGGATCCAGGACCTGCTGGTAGTACCCAGAGCCCACGTTGCAATTCCAGATGTTGCCAGCAGGGGGAGGGGAACACAGGTCTAGATCCTGGTGTGAGGAGCTTGGCAGGGCTGGGACGGGCTTCAGAGAGGTCCCCAAGGCCTCTGCTCCGTTCAGTTAAGGGCTATTATTTTGGTTCCTCCTAGTGTTATGTTTTGGAGAACTAAGATATCTCAAGATTGGAAAGTTCTCAGATAAACAACAACAGTGAGAGTTTCCGTTTTTTGAAGGATTCCATATGCACTGTGCTAAATAGTTTTATTAGCATGATCTCAATTAAGCCTTATAACAATCCTGTGAACATCAGGCTAGGATTGTCTCATTTAAAGATGAGGAAACTGAGACCCAGAAAAGGAAAGTAACTCACCAAGGGACTCACATTTAGTGAAAAGGCTGGATTTGAACCCAAGTCTGTACGATACCACAGCTCCAAATTTTACTTTGCCTTAGAGGCCATGTTGACCTGCCCGTTTGTTTTTACAGGTTGGGAGACAGGCTCAAAGAAGGGGAAGAAATTGCCCAAGGTCACATGATGACTCAGTGGTTGACCTGCGATTTGAACTTCTGTCTCCTGGCTTGGCCTTTGCCCTGTCTTTCTACTTTTCTGCCTTGGAGGCTTAGAAATAACAGATTCTGAACTTCTAAGTATCCGTTGCCGTCAAGTCAATTCTGATTCATGGCGACCCCGTGTGTTGCAGAGTAGAACTGCTCCTTAGGGTTTTCTTGGCTGTAATCATTTATGGAAGCAGATCACCAGGCCTTTCTACTGCGATGCTGCTGAATGGGTTCAAACCACTGACCTTTTGCTCCATGCCCAGCATAGATTCGAGATCTTCTCAAATTCTTACGTGGTAGTCAAACACAAACCAGTTGCTGCCCTCCCCCAGGGACCCTTGAACAGAAGTAACAGACTCTTTTTCTCATGTGTAAAATGGGGATGGTGCCCTTTGTTTAAGGGACTGTCGGGAGGACTCAGTGGGATGGCCTATGCAGAGTCCTGATTATCCCACTCAGCAGCAGAAAGAGCACCAGAGGCAACTTGCACTACTTCTTGATTTAGAGGTCCAATCATGTTGTCCTCCTAGCTCTATCTGTTGTTATTGTGGGCCATCGGTCAATTCCGACTCATAGTGATCCTATATGACAGAGTAGAACTGCCACATAGGGGCAGTTTCTAGACTATAATCTTCACCAGAACAGATCACCAGGTCTTTTCTCCTGTGGAGCCACTGGTTCAAACCACCAACCTTTCGGTTAGCAGTCCAACATTTAACTATTGCGCCAGCAGGGCTTCTGCTCCATCTAGTCTCTGAAGAAAGAAATCTGGGCATTTGATAAGAGCTGGAGGAGGTCAGAAATGTTTGCGGTGTCTCTGTTTCCAGGGCATGTGATCCTGAGCTCAGATAATCTAGAACCAGCTTTAGATGTAATTCTCAGGTAAGGCGTCTTTAGCATGGGACCATGGTATAAGGCATGGTTTGTCAGCCTCATCACTATTGACGTTTTGGGCTGGAGGGGGGCTGTCCTGTGCATTGTGGGATGTTTGGTAACATCCCTGGCCTCTACCTGCTAGATGACAGTAAGCACCCCCCACATAGACAGTCATGACAACCAAGAAAATCTCCAGTCATTGCCAAATATCCCCTGGGGGAGGGCAGAACTACACCCAGCTGAGAACCACTGGTGTAGGAGAAAGAAAGTGGGCTCCTGGTCAGACAGCTCTGAGCCTAAATCTTCTCTCAGTCACTAACCAACCGAGTAACCTTGGAGCAATTATTTAGCCTGTCTAACCCTCGGTTCCTACCTTCATGAAATTCTATACTAACAGCTACCATTTATTAAACACTTTTTCACTGGCAGTGTGATAAGCTCTTTGCATGCATCATCTCATTTAATTGTCAACAGCAGAATCCTGAAGGGACACTGACAGGTGGAAGCAGGGAGGAAGGAAGGAAGGAGTGCTTTACATTAAGCATCTTCTCTGTACAGGCACGAAAGTAGGTGCTCTCACATACATTTGTCCTCTGTCACTCGCTGTATAATCTTGGGAAAATTACCTCTCCTCCTCCAGAGCTCAGTTTCCTCATCTGTAAAAACAATAACAGTTGGGAAATTCTGAGAAGATGGAGGTGCTGATGCCCAGCATAGATTTGAGATCTCAAATCGTCCCATAAAAACAAACAGAATCTCATGAACATATTTACAACAGAACTAGGTGACAGGCCTGTGTGCCATTATTGGTTCTGTACAGGAGAAATAAAATGGAAGCAACTAGGTGTCCGACTACCTGAGAACTGGAGAACCCCAGAACTGCAGCCTATATTCATGGGAAAGTCTGCTGGGACAGTTTGAGAACAACAGCTGAAATTGGGAAAGGTTTGGCCCATTCCAGTAGGGGTGAGGGCAAGAGGCCTGATGTAAGGCCTAAAGGGGCTAAAGGAGTTTGTTGCTGTGGTTGTTAGTTACCACCGAGTAGACTTCAACTCTTGGTGACCCCAAGTACAACACAAAGAAACATTGCCTGGTCC